ACAAATGTGTGGTATAAACCCACCCAGGTCTTGCAGGGGCCCAGAGACCAGAGTCTGGAAAACTGCATTCATAATGAGCCTCCTTGTCCCAGTGTGACCTGCTGCTGTAAGTCACAGAGAGCGTACCACCCCTGACTTTGGCTAATGGAGGCCATATGAGGGTGGAGGGCAGCAGAGGTCCCCCTCCTCACAGAGGCTCTTTGTGGCAGGAGCTGCAAGGAGAAGACGGGGATAGTTAAGATAAATCTGGCAGAAAATCTGACAATCTAAACTATATTTAAAAGTGTATGTAGACTGAGGTGATGCAGCACAAAAACCATGTTTGAAAACCAACAGGGACAAGGCATGTTCACTTATATACTGGCAATATTTGTCCAAGTGGGTGCACCCTCTCTGCGCCGTGTTAAGTGCATTATAGAAGAGCCTTGTTTAGCACTTAGCTGTTTATAAAATGATCTTTTCATAAACAGCATTGCGGCCCACTATGACCACATCTGGCCTGCACACAGGTATGTCAAGCTCAGAGGCGCTGACGTCAATGTTGGCCTTACATTCACATTAGTTTGCTCTGCTGACTCTCTGTTGAAGAAGGGGAGGGTCACCTATTAAAAAATGCTGAGTTTGAGAAGGAACAAACTCCTGTTGTTGGATTTATGCAAAACCTTACAATCATGGAAGTATACCACCCGAAAGGGTCATAGTTGCTGCAAATGCTTTCAAGCAAAGGCAATGTTTGCTGTTTTTGTTTTCTTTCTGGTAATATGGCATAAGAAGTTATTGGATTTAAGTAAATCCAAGGAAAAAAGTTTTTAAAAGTGTTAGCTTCAAAAATAAATGTTTAAAGAAAAATACTGTTCTGATTCTAGAATCAGAATCAAGTTTATTGCCAGGCATTTTTACACATACAAGGAATTAGCTTTGATGTCTGGTGGTGCGAACATAGACATCTAAGAAAATAAGTTGCAATAGTAGGTCAAGAATATAAAGATAATAAAAATAAGTATTTTTAAGAAACTATTTAGCATTAAAAAATAGTAATAAAGACAAGTATTAACACCAAATTGAAATATACAAAGAACCTTAAAAGCTAAACAACTAAAACACTTAGGACAATGAATAGGCCTATATGGCAATATATAGCAAACTACCAATAATTATATATTAGTAGTAACATCTTAAACTTGTGCATTCAAAATCGTACTTATTGTAATAAAATACAGAAGTGTTTTCACCAAAATATACCGCAAGTACCAAAAGTCACAATATTTCTTATGTGTAAAGACTCATTTCAGGATCATATAAAATGGCTGGGTTATGATTATTGATCTCTTAAGGTTCATCACAGCTCTTTAACAATGGGGCTGATTTAAAGCACTTTGCATATTGCTGATGGGTATCTTAAGTTATGAGTACACAAGAATTTGTTTATTTACAAGTTGACTGATATTTAGTAATAGCTAATAGCCTGATTTTGTAAAGTAACTAAAGCTGCCAGATAAATGTAGTGGAGCAAAAAGTTAAATATTGAATACGAAAATGTAGTGGAGTAGAAAAATAAAGAAGCATAGAGTTAATAAAACACTCAAGAAAAAATTAAGTACCTCAAGAAGTAGTACTTGAGTAAATGTAGTTTATTACATTCCACCAGGCACTAATCACTTTATTGTTGTGGCTGTTAAAGTTAAATCTTATTTGAATTACTTTATGGGTGTTTGAGATTTTGCGTAAGATTAAAAAAAGGGTTAAAACAAATGTATATTAATCTGAATAATACATCATGTTTATTTTATATACATGTTTTGATTATATCTATATTTGCAAAATAACGTAAACAATACAATTATAGTATAGCTATATAGGTAATTGAGTTAAGTAAACAAAACACTGTTGTGTTTGAATAAAAGGCTTGTTTATGAGTTTTAGTGGAGACTGAAGAAGTTATTCCTTCACACTTTATATTAAAACTGATTATTGTCTCACTTTTAACACTAGAGGCCGCTAATGCTCCTCTTCTACTCGGGAAATGTTCCTCGTGCGGTGAGACTTTGGTCGTTGCTTATTGGCCCATGTGTTTTTTCTGGTTTGCAGTTACGCCTTCATTGAGTCGTCCTTTTCTCCCATTGGTTGTATCAAACGTCACTCAACATTGCGTCAATCTGGAGAAAATAAGATTGGTTTAACATGCAAACTGTCAAGAGTAAAGGAAGCGAGCTAGTGGCAGCGATGCAAACCTTCCAGCCACACTGTGAGTTCATTATTTAATGTCACTCGCTGGTTAAAGAAATAATGTGTACACGCTTATACTCCTTAGCGTTTACATTATTTATCGCACAGACATTGGTTATTTGCTTCAAATGTGGTCAAAATGTCACTTGAATACTTGTTTACATTGCCGACCGTTCGGGGTACTACTTAGCTCAATGCTAACATTAGCCACTGTTTGCTAAATGTGTTTCGCACTGCTAACATTAACATTAACAAGAGCTAACACCAAATAACGTTATTATTGAGTTTGACTAACTGTGGTGTGCAGTTATTATTGTTTTTTGTACACGAATATTCCCATTACATTTTCTTTATTATTTTGGTCAGGCTAACGTTCCAACAAATCTACGTGTGCCTTATGTATCATCCATCTGCTAAGTTATATAATTGCACATAATGGGCCAATTGCTCTAATGTAGCGATAACAACTACAGTCTGTGGCATAGGTTGACGTCAACCATCCTGCAGGCGCCTGGGTATTTTTTGTTCAATTTACCATCACGTCTTGTAATAAATGCATGCAATTAAACCTGTCAGTCGGGACATCAGGTGCAACAACTTTCTTTTCAGAAGTATCGTAATAAAAAGCACATGCTTACTGTACTGCAGGTCCAAAGCAAAGATGTTATACATATGTAGATTGTTCTAAGCCTCTTAATTAGCAATTCACCACCCCTTTTTTACAAGCTTTTAATTCATTAGGATGTTCTGCTTCTCTTTGTACTGCCATTCTAAGATGATTATGTTTAGGACTGTTAGACCGGGAAACGAAGCATTACCAATACGTTTTCTGTAACAATAAACATTATATAGACCAATTGATTTTTTTGGAGAAAATAAACTGCAAATAAACCCATATAAGAAAGAAATGTTCGTTACAAAAGTATATATTTTTGAATGAATTAATAGGTTCTAGGCATCAGTTGTCAAACATGTACAGTTTGTTGATGAGCTGAAACACTGCAAGGTGTAAAATAATTGTGATGAGATCTTTTTTTATATTTCTTCAATAGTCAGATATCACAGAAATGACCTCCTATCCTCTTCAGTCCGTTTAGGTGTCATCATAGCAATAATTACCATCACGAAATGTGAAGCTATGTCTCCTTTACAAACTACAATTAAACAAGGCTGCATAGATTCAGGCTGCACTGTCAGGTTTAAAGGCTGGAGCAGATCCGGGCAGTTTCTCTGTCTGAGCCTGCCTCCGTCCTCTGACTCATCTGCTTCAAGGTCGGGTAGGTAGAAGTTGTGGCAAGATAAGCAAACAAATGAAGAAAATCAGCAAGTTGATGAATTAGGTGTTGCAATAGAGCTACAGATACTCTGGTGATTATTATTATTATGTGTTAGATGACGTGATAGGAACTATGCAAACCAGTCTATGATGCAAACGCAGCGATGGCTCCAGCTCATCGTCTAACTTGTAAACTGGAGTTTTAACATATTGTTGTATCCGCTTGAATGAAAAACAAGTATTAAGAATTTCTAAAAAAGGAATTACTTAGTGATTTAATGATGAATGAATTGTTAAGCTATTTTTAAGAGCCAGAGGAACATCAAACATTTCTGGTTCCATCTCAAATTTAAATAATTCCCACTTAGTTTTTTATCATTTCTGTTTTTATATCAATTTAAGTCAGACATCTTTGGGTTTTAGACTGTTGGTTGAATAAAACAAGACATTTAAATGGATGAAGTTGGGGTTAACGGAGGACATGCTCTGCTTTTTCAAGCGTTTCCAAGTTGACATAATGGGAATGCAGGTGTTTCACTCCACATTAGCAGTCTATAAAAGACAAATATAGAATGTCAAATGCACACAAATGAGTCCCATTAACAAATGAGGACATGAACCCAGTGTCTTGAGCGGGGGCCATGGCCTTGCTCAGAGCTTGAGTAAGTAAGTAAGTAGGTGTAATAGAAGAGATTAACTGTTACACCCGAGCTCTGAAACTCTAATCCACTTAGGCATGGAAGGAGTTTATTTGAAATCTACTGAGTGCCAAAGTGAGCGTCAGAATGAATTTCTGTATGTGGGTACCAGGCTAATGCTTAACAGCCACAGGCTCCTGTTTTCTGATGCATGTGCAAAGAGCTGACTAATATCAATCAATCATAATAACTTCTAACTATTTTTAAATGCAAAGATTATTCCTGACAGATATCTTTTTCAAGAACAATTCAAATGTGGCACAGACAGGGTTCTTTAAACAGACCTTGGTTTGATTTTCTAACTGTTTTAATTATCCAAATATTTTCAATTTTTTTTGACAGTGACAGATTTAATTTGCTTGTTTGTGTTTGACCAACATCCCAAAACCTCATTTACTGTTATAGAAAACACAACATTTGTTTTTTCCAAATCGTGCAACCATACTAGCATGGATGCTAAATATTACTATTATTTGTGAATCCCAAGAAAATTAGGGGAGTACTGCGTCTTTAAGGTCACAGCGACCTTCGATTAAACAGGCAAAATCTGTAGAGGGAACTTTTGCAGAACTTGTGTTCCCTCAGCTTGAGGTCCCTAAGGCTTTGGACAGTTACGTGTTTGTTTATTATCTCTTTTGGACCCCTTCTAGGCTGCTTATGCTCATAAACAGTATTTTCCATTGCAGAGAGTCAACCTTGACCCTTGAGTGGCTGTGCCTCATGGGGAAGCGTTTTGTTGTTCAGATGGGTCTCATAGCGTGCCAGAGGGTAATGAGTATTTTGTGGTTGTTTGTGTACAGTACGACATGTGATGCGCTGCCTGGCCTGTCTCCATGGCTGGATCAGAGTAGATGCCCCTGCTGCTTTCTGCCCCAGACTGCAGCGTCAGGGCTAAATGTGTAAAAGGCGAGTAAGTGCTGGAGTTAATGATTGCTCAAGCACACGGACAGTTCATCTTGAAATGATAGTATATAGGCTGGATTTGCTGTGCCAGACAATGTGTTCTTTTTGTTGTTGTTAAAAGGCAAAAATTACAAACACAGCGTGGTATCAATTAGGCTGTTGGAAAGCAAAAAAAGTGTTTCTTAATTGAGATTTAATCAGTGTTTTTAATAATTTCCATGTCATTAAAATTGAAAGAACAATATAATTACATTTGTTAAACCTTGATGAAAATTCATCGTCCTTTTCATTCTACAAGTTGCAAGTTAGAAGTCTGACAAACATGATGACAAAGATACATACAGTAGTAGTGTATGCTAAACATTATTCATGAAGGTGTTTCCAAAAACAGAATAAATGAATCCTTAAATGATTTAAAGGATTTGACCTTTTAAAAATATATTTTATTTTTCTTGTTGACCATTTTGGCGAATATCACTTGACATCAATATTGGATTGGATTTATATTTTCTTAAAAATAAAAATATTACCAGCAATATATATTATGCCTTTTTAAAGTCGTTCTAATGGGATTTGTCAAGTCCCATGCAAAAATGAACAAGCATGAATTGTGTGCAGTTTGATGTAGAGTATGATTATTGAAAGGGCTGCCCCGAACTAGTCGATTAAATGTTAGTCACCCTCAACGTGTGTTCATTTCTTCATTTTTCAACTAAGCAACTTTCATAGGAATGAACATTCCTCCTCCAATGCATTATCAAGGTCTTCTTAAACATCCATGAGTGCAATAACCCAAAGTATTAATCAACAACTTGAAGCAAAACGTGCATGAATCATTTTTAATGTTTTGTTTCTCTCGTAGGACTGTCTTTCATACAAATGGAGGCCAGGACTGTCATCAGATAAGCTGCAGCCTCCAAGTCACTAAAGACTGAAGCCAATGGAATGGGTTTTGAATCTGCTGAATACTAAATGAGAAACCTCCGTGACGCTATCATTGCAGAGGACTGACCATCGCCATAGTTTCTCACAAAGCCTTTTTAGGTTTTGAAAGCCCCTCTTTTCAGTCTCACTCTGCTCCTCTGCCTCATACACCTTCATCCAGTGGCTCTGCTGTTCAGCCCACATAGAGAGGACCCTTCCCTCTCCCCTGGCCCCACATCGGCGGCCAGCTCTGGCGGTGTGTTGGTGAACGATGGCGCGGTGGGAAGCTGAGGGCTGCCGCGGGGGACTGTGATGTCAGAGAACACCAGCCCGGGCGAGAGCCGGCGTGGCGCTCCCAGATTCTTCGTGGGCTGCGAGGAGGATGAAAGCGAGGTCCTGGACGAGAGCATGAGGACAGACATGGAGCTGTATGAGGACGACGAAGACTCAGACTCGGTGTGTGCATTACCCAAATCACAGTCCCAAATCCTCTTTAAAAAACCTCCATTTCACCATTTTGATATATTTTTCAATGATACTGTGAGTGTTTGAACAATTATCATTACCTCTAATATTGTTAATTATATTGCAAATTCAAAAATCATAAATTGAATCAGAATTTGTCTTTTCTCTTTCAAACCATGCTGTCCTTCTCTTTACTATAATATGTTTACCTAATGAGTTGGAGGACACTTCATCAGAAAATCATCCGATATTTGTTGAATAATACATTGGCAGTTGAGTTGCCATCTTCCAGTTGATATGAACTAAAAATAATTTCTAAATGTTGTGCTTCCGAAAGAGCAGATAAGGTTCATGTCTGCCGGGTTTTTGACAAATGCACAGAAATGTATGCTGTAACTGGAGGTGATTATTTCTTGTTCTCAATTTGTTGTTATGTACATGAATATCTGTCAAAAGACAACTCCAAACAGATCATGTGTTTACTGTACACACAGAGAATTTAGGAGAAATCTAGCGGGGGATATCAGGGATTCTCTAATCCATTATCCAGATTGTGGTTTTAAGAAAACTTGGTTGACTGAGAAAAGCTGGTTGTGATTGTACTAAAGTGCAAAGACACTTAATGTGACTGTAAGAAACCAATAATAAGTTTTATTTCAAACTTGTTTAGTATTAGGCCACTTTTAGTTAACAAGGACATCTAAGGTAAATGAGTCAGCTTGATAAAGTTAACAGAGGAGGACAGTTTCTGGTACTGGTTTATTTTTTGTTGAAATCCACTGAACAATGATTCCAAGCTGAGCCAATACTTTAAGGTAACGGTAATAGACTTAGACCACTGATTGGTCAGAGAGAACTGTCACTGGCCCTGCACTAAACCGGCATTTTTAAATAGCAAAAAAATCTCAATAGCAATTGCATTTTTTTGAATATGGCAGCTGGCTTTTCTATGCCACACACCATGCCTTACACTTGACAAAGTGCAAGTGTTCCTTCATTTAGTTGCTGATTTATTATAAGCCTTAATAAAACAAAAACCATGCATAACATTAAAAAGAGTGGAGATGATTTATGTAAGATTGAGATCATTTCCCTCTGCAGTCCCTAGTCAGAAACACGCATTAACAATCAATAGACAATAAAAACATGATTTATTTATTTTATCACACTAACATTTTACCTTGTAAAATATATAAATGCTCCTCTCAAATTGAGAGCTCTCGTGGTTAACTGGCAATTTTCAACAAATTCCTCTCTTTGAAGAGGAGACTGTACTGAAATCTATTTCAGTGCTTCAGCTTGAGGTTTGATGGGGTATTCATGGGACAAAGCTGCCATTGTCTCTCTTGCTTCCTCAGACAGATAGTGTTGAAATGTTTCCCTCTCCCTCTCTCTGCCTCTTCCAGCCCCCAGAGCAACAGATCGTGGTGGGGATCTGCTGCATGATGAAGAAGTCCAAGTCTAAGCCCATGACCCAGATCCTGGAGAGGCTGTGCAAGTTCGAGTTCATCACCGTGGTCATCTTCCCAGAGGAGGCCATCCTCAACGAGCCTGTGGACAAATGGCCTCTGTGCGATTGCCTCATCTCTTTCCACTCCAAGGGTACAAAACCAGACACACAAACACACGTCTGCAAACATAGTACTTTTTCTGGGTATTTGTGTGTGTGTGTGTGTGTTTACTACAGATGTGATAGCAATGCCCACATTTCAAAGCTGGAGCATATGAAATAGCACAAATCTACACATGCATGCACGTCATATATTCTGAATGCTGTCCACTGGTGAACTAGAGGAATGACGGGCAGTACCCGGTAGTGGGCGGGCACGTACCCACTACAGGTGTAGGATGCAGGCTAAATGTGTGGAACACAAGTTTCTGTGGTGGGAAAGATGATACTTCTTTTTGTATGTATTTATTGTATGCATTACTGTATACCGCTATGTAGCGCAGACTCTATTGTTCACAGAAACATTGAGTTGCTTTAGAGGGAGCCTTCTAAATCCAAGTAACGGACAATCAGACAACAACTTAAAAGAGTAATTATAGCAAATGTAATTGAGCCCAATGTTACTGTACATACAGGTACTGTATCTAAGCAACACTGCATTTTTATAAATGATGATAATCTGGTCATGGGTCACATCTCTCCAGACGCCTTCGCACACCTTCTTCATCTCCTTATACACATTGAAATAAAGTTACCTCCAGGAACAATTTTTCTCAGGTGAAATATTTGATTTATTTGTTTTGGCAGTGGCAGCAAAGATTCTGCCCAGAAAAAAGAACGTTACCATCATACAGCATTCACTGCTGTCTGTGTGACCACATGGGCTTCTTATCAACTGCCCAATCATTTACACACTAAACAGAGCCTGCCTGTCTTGTAATAGAATGTCAGCATTCTTTTTAGAATCATTCCCTCTCTCAATGCCAGTCTACAGCATGTCTAGTGTTTTCTCTTATTATGTCTCAATACTCAGAATTGTTTTTCCCTTATTACACATAACTGTCTACGCATATTATTTGACATTGTTTATTGAATCATTTTTCTCTGCATGTTCACCAGGATTCCCGCTGGATAAGGCGGTGAGCTATGCCAAACTGAGAAACCCTCTGCTCCTCAACGACCTGAACATGCAGTATTACATACAGGACAGGTACTCGGACATCCTGGAGTGGTTAACGTCATCCAGGCAAAGCAAAGAGAGAAGAAGAATACAAAACCCATAGTTCATTTATTCATGTTATAATTACTGTTTAACAGGAGAGAGGTGTATCGCATCCTGCAAGAGGAAGGGATTGACTTACCGCGCTATGCTGTGCTGAACCGCGACCCAGATAAACCAGATGGTCAGTATTTTTTTGTAGTTCACATCACATGGGAAAACACAAAAGAACGCACAAACTACATGTATCCCATTTTTCTTTTCATTTTTCAAGCGTTTTGCTCCTGCAGAAAAAGCTCTCTGAAAAACAGCCCCTTTCATTCTAGCATCTCAAGGTCATTAATCTAAGACTGCAATGGTTTTACTTCAGCATGTGGATAAATATAGTATCAAATGTGAAGCAGTTGCAAGTGTACCATTCTTTAGTGCTGTGTGTTTGCACTGTGAAAGCCCTTAGACTGGCCAGCAATCGGATGTTTATCCTTAAATGTGATGACTGTTTTTGTAAAAGCACCAATGAGCGTCACGTGGTTCAGAGTGCAGAGCTGCTTCACACGGCCCAAGAGTAAACACTCAGGGGGGCGAGTGTCATCTGTGTGTATTTTAGGGGGTGATGAAAAGGGTCTTCCTGGCTTACAGAGAGATATTTCTCTTTGTGTTTCAGAGTGTAACCTGGTTGAGGGAGAAGACCACGTGGAGGTGAACGGAGAGATTTTTCAAAAGCCTTTTGTTGAGAAGCCCGTCTGCGCAGAGGACCACAACGTCTACATCTACTACCCCACCTCTGCTGGTGGAGGCAGCCAGAGACTCTTCAGAAAGGTGCTTGCATTGTCCCCCCTGGCTTTTTTTTCTTGTTCGTACACTTCAGTCAACACTTATTCAATAAAATAATCAATGGCAAAATGAAATGAAATTGGCATCAGATTATAAAAAAAAAGGATGTCGTCCAACATTCTAAAACTTTCCCAGGTCCCAAATCGTGCCCAAGCATCCAAGAGGGAGCTGTGAAAGTGGCAGACACGATGTTGGAAAAATGCAAATATTGCGTGGCTCAGCGCCAAGCAGAGAAAAGTAAATATCGGAAACAAGAAAACAATCTAGGGTTGGCTTTCACCCACTTTACAAGCAACCTAGCCCTAGACCGACCAGAGCTGTGCAGTTCTTGTGTCGGTTAATATTTTAGCTAAAACAAGAAGATCACTGTTACTTTTGCACACTTTCTTACAGTGACACAAAATTGAATTGATAGGGGTTGTTTTAAATGAAAGTTTTAGAGGCCGAGGGCTGGTTTTGACATTTTTAATATACACATTATGTTTCATGTGTGTATAATAACAGCACCAGAACAGAGTTAAACACACCAGGCAGTAGTATATGTAATAGCTTTTGTTGTAATGGTACATGAATCTATTGCTCTGCCAGAGAAAGAGTGTTATCATGCACGGAGCAGCAGCCTTTAATGATGGATGTTATCCAGACTGTTCAGAGTGCGCTGTGGTACTGGGTTGAAGCAGCTGTTTTTTCAGAATGACAACATGTTTCCCTCCTTGTGTGATCTGTGTAGATCGGCAGCCGCAGCAGTGTGTACTCACCAGAGAGCAACGTGAGGAAGACAGGCTCGTACATCTATGAAGAGTTCATGCCAACAGATGGCACCGATGTTAAGGTATGGACTGAGGGTTGAGTATTCTGAATTGTGAAGTGAAAGAACCTAACATGGGCCCCTTTTTTAAATCAAAGACTTTAATTCCATTTGAACTCTATGAAACTGCCCTTTAAATCATCAGTACAAAATATCTACAATATCTCTGGTTCTTCGATAAAAATGTGAAGGCTCCAAAGTTTTTTATTTTATTTGGTAAGATTATAACTAAAATTAATTTGCTTCTGAATTCTAGGTTAATTTAGAGGAATTTAGCAGCTGAGACAAGAAACTCACTACTGCTCTGAATTGCACGTCGCACTCACAATCTCTTCAAGTAAACCTAGCCCAGACTGATGAGTATTGTGGAATTTAGAGCCGTCCACCATGCCAAACTTACATAGAAAACATTATTTCTCACAAACAAAATGGAAAATGTTCAAACTAGTGGTCATATCCTAAATCCCTTGGTTCTTATATTGCAACCAAGAGTCCCGGGAGGCCCGTGTTAAGTAACATTTGGGTTATCATTCCTATAAACAGATTGTGGAATTTACTTCTGGAACCAGCTGCCCCTCACTTTCACAGCTCTTCATTGTGTTATTGGACAATGATTTTAGTCGCTGCATCCCATTGAACTAAGTCTTTGATTGAGAGGTGGTGTTTCATGTGACCTCAGGTGTACACTGTGGGGCCCGACTATGCTCACGCTGAGGCCCGGAAGTCCCCCGCTCTGGACGGGAAGGTGGAGAGAGACAGCGAGGGGAAGGAGGTCCGCTACCCCGTCATGCTCTCAGCCATGGAGAAACTGGTGGCTCGTAAAGTCTGCCTAGCATTCAAGGTGAGAAAAGGCAATGTGTTAATAAACTCTTGCTTTCTCCTAGTTTGCTCTTTCCTTGATACTGAACTGTGTTTTCCTCTAACTGCAGCAAACTGTGTGTGGCTTCGATCTCCTCCGAGCCAACGGACACTCGTATGTGTGCGACGTCAACGGATTCAGCTTTGTGAAGAACTCAATGAAGTACTATGATGACTGCGCCAAGATCCTTGGGTACTGCCTTTATTTGTGTTCTTTACTTGTCAACTTAACTGTGTTCTGTTTGGGCTTGCTTTTGTTTATTTCTTGTATTTCTGCAAATTACATTTCTGTGTCTTATTGGACTTACAGGAACATCGTGATGCGTGAGCTGGCTCCTCAGTTTCAGATTCCTTGGTCCATCCCCACTGAGGCAGAGGACATCCCCATTGTTCCTACTACATCAGGGACCATGTAAGTCAGGACATTAGTCTAACCAGGGGACCCACGCTCGTGAACTGTTAGCGCCGGTGTTATGCCGTGTTATGCACGCCCACTGCACCTCGCAGGAGCGCGCACAGCGTAAAGCAAAAACTCCCAGACATTTCAATTATTTTTACGGCAAAGTTTAAAAAAAAAGAAAATGTATCGTTTATTTAGCAGGGACAATGCACAATAATGAACACTTAAAACATTAAATGTGTCAAGCGCAACAGTGCCAGATTTAGCTCTGAGCTAATTTCCATCCGCACTCCCTCACGTAAAACATTTAAGAAAATTACATTTTACAAACATAGCAAAAACAAAATACATGATATGCGAACAGAGCAAAAGAGCAAGAGCAGCATACACGAGTATTTATGACATGGTAATACAATATAGCAGCTACGACATATAAAGTGCAAGAGAAGATACAAGAGCTGACTAAAGTACAAGAGGAGATACCCCTGTGTTAAAGTGCATTTAGCAGTGATTGCACGTCTGTTTCTCAACCATTCTTTGAGTTGACCTTTAAAGCTATTGAGAGTGGGACAATCCCGTATCTCAGTTGGGAGGCTATTCCACAATGAGCTGCCTTTAATGGAGAGTACATTTTGTCCAAAAGTGGTCCGTCTGCGACTCTGTGGTGGTCTTCACAGTCTCCTCTGGTTTCTGACCTAGTGCAGCGTCCAGTGTGTTTTTTGTGGATGAATTTCCCTAAGGGAGGGAGGGGGGGGGAGCAGTCCATGTAAACATTTAGCATGATAA